TCAAGGGATGCACTTATCCCCCAGTACATGACACTGCTGAGGCAGCGCGTCTGATACTGCTGTCCAGATTTGAGCCTCTCGGTCAACAAGGATGTCAAAAAACTGTAGAGGGTCCAGTGAAGGGCTCCTAACGTGTTCAGAGATCTCAAGTGCACGCCGTCTGGAAAAATGGCGGAAGGAGTTGGACGTAGTCTGAGGAGGAGCAGGCTGTGGGGTTGACCTAATACCTGCCTGATTTTATATGGAGGACAGTTACAAAGATGAATCCAAATGCCTCTCGGTAGCTGCAGATGATGGGGCAGGGGCAATGGCCACACACTCTAGCTTAGGAGCTTCAGGCCAGGCAGCAGGACAACCTGCTTTACGAGGAGTGCAGCGCAGCACTGGAATAGGTTGCCCAGAGAGGTCATGTAGTTTCCACCCTTGCAGGTTTCTGAGCTTCAGCCAGACAAAGCCCCATCTCAGCCGAATTCTAGTGCCAGTCCTGCTGCAAGTGGGAGGATGGACTCTATCTCCGGAGGGCCTTGCGAACAACATTTCTGCGATTCTGTGACCTGCTGAGAGATGGAGAATATACAAAACCCGAGGCAGGAGAAAAGCCCAGTGCGGTGGCAGAGGACCACCCACGTGGTAACCTCCCGTTTTGCTTTCAGGAACTCACTGGTTTGCTGCCATGCAGTGCTCCCAGGCTGGGCTGGAGGCCCCACGGCACCCCAGGGGCTGCGACAGCAGCGAGGAGCACCAAGCAGAGAAGACAAATGGTGCATGATGAGGAGGTGCTGGGCTTTGGGTACGCAGCTCCACTGCTCGCAACCTGCACTCGACGACGATGCTGCGTGTGGACTCGCCTCTGCTACCTCAACTGCTACCTCAACTATCTTGTTTCCCTGCCCAGTGTGAGCAAACCCCAAGTGTCATTTCTTTCAGAAAAAAATATTACGGTAAATCCCTCCAACTAGGCTTACTCATTTCCTCTCCCCCATCTCTTCCTACCTCCTTACCACAAAGACAAAAGTCCTTTTATAATACAAGGGCTTATCTTATCTACTTGCTCAACAGCTCCACAGAGCTGAAAGTTCAGCATAGACTGAAGAGAATCAAGCCTTTCCTGCGTATCCCACCTTGTAAACAATCGCTGGTATTTTAAGCATGCATTTACGTCCAGGGAGATCTTCAATACTATTCTGGGCTTTTATTTTACAACTCTCCTGGGCATCTGCACCGCTTCAGAACTCCATCATTGCTCCTCATCAGCACAGACCCAAGGCAAACCACTTTTTGTTGGAACTTGGTGGAAAACCTTCAGAGCAGAGAGCGGCAGAAGAGTTAACATGGGCTGATGTGACATAAATGAGGGCCACACTCAGACCAGAAAACACTTGCGTTTTTATGCTCCATTAGCTATCATAGGTGTCCTCGTAAGCACCCATCTGACCCTAGCTAAGGCAGAATTGACACCAAGAAACACCAGTACCCTTTCAATCCTTGTGTGCTAAGCAGGGAGCAGATCCCCGCATCATTATTTAGTGTAAATTGCATCTGCCTCTGACTACCAAGCAGTAAATTTTTTTGAGCATGAAAAAGTTTGAGGGAAAAATCGTCTGAGCTGTCTCACCCATAGTTTCGATTTCAGGAACTGTTTAGACCAAAATTACTCTGCAGATTAGAGATCATCTACTAAACCAGAAAAAAGAACATAAAACTTGCTCTAAAGTAACACTTGTGTATCAAGTCACCATGTATTTTTTTTTTTTTCACATTTGCCTTTGTTTTTTTCTCTTTTGATGTTGACAATGCATTAAGCATTTAGCATCTTTTTTTAAGCTACAGCTGAGTTTATGCAGCAACTGATTCATTGCTGAATCTTCCTGCCGCTCCCAGTCCTGGCAGAAAGACAAACTAAGGCAAGAGTCACATCCAGATTAACTACTGGCCAAGCCCCGGGTTCAGCCGATTCCCTGCAAGGTCTGGCTCTAGTGAGTCCTGCTGCACTGGGGGGGACAGCTCATGCCTCGGTCACCCAGCAAAGGGGAAGAAAAGCTGCACAAAGCTAATTGTTAATTTGCTCTTAAAATAAAGAGAGTCCTCCTTGCCCCCTGTACCTACATGGGGTGGCTTTGTCTAGGAAGAAGTGGCCTGTGCAGGGCAGAGAGAGGGGCTGCTCCGACTGCAGCACGGCCGGTTTGCTGACACCCAAGTCACAAAGCTGCTCTCCTCTATTTCCACGTTCCTCTCGGCAGCTTTTCCTGACCTCCAGGAGCTCTCCACAGAGCTTCAGGTGGGGACAGCTCCAGCCATACTTCCTCCCACCTTACTAGTGCCCAACTAGTGAGTATACGTATGGTATATGCACGCTGCTTCGCTTGGGAGAGTCCCGCCTCTGGCAGTTAAACATCCGCAGAAATACTGAAGTACCTGACACCTCTCTGTAACTCAGTTTGGTTTCTTGTGGCTTAGCCCGAGGTTGCACTTTTGGAAAGCACTGGCCTAGTTTTCCAAAAGGTCATGAGGAACAAGGAAACCTCCCAATCTTGAAAGATGATTTCATCACCTATTTCTATTCAAAACATTGGTCAAGAGCGTAGTAAGAGATTAAAAAAATCCAAACCAACAAACACCTAGTGGCTTACACCACGAAGAAATTTTTTATGCAAGTGGCATGGACTGCGCGTGTCATTGCCAGAACACTGGTTTAATTCATTCCGCTATTAGAAAAATTGGGCAGAATATCTAAAAATGCCTTAGCTGATCAAGAATTATTCTGCAATAGGCACCGAAAAGAACTCATGCACGGGTGCCACTGAAGCTGAGCTCCTGCAGGCGAGCACTCCCCAGGCAGCACGCCAGAAGGGCCAGCTCGTGACAGCAGAGCCGGGCTTTGGGGATGGGGATCCCGTAAGGCACCCCCAGAACAAAAGCCAGGCCCCGCTGTCCCACAGGAGTCTGTTTACCAGGGAAGCACCTCCGTTCACACCACATGTACCCTAGCGACTGTTACTAGCACAGGCAGAGACACAACTGGAGTTATTTTTTGGTTTGTTTTTAAATAGGAACTTCCTCCCGAGGTACCCAGCACCGACCTGCCTTCAGGCTGCAGCTAAACACAGGCACGGCCCCGCCATGTGACGCAGGGCGGCTGCAGCCTGCGGTGAGTGGGGATGTAAGCAGCTCCAGCAGACAGCGCTGCAAGGAGAGCACCACCAGCAGCAGCGTTACTTCTACTGCTGCCAAGAGCTGCACACACATCACATGTCACCTTCCCACTGCTACTGAACCCCCTCCAAGGCTCTCCAGGGTCATGCTCCATTAGAAAAAAAGCACTCAATTAGAAAAAAGCAAACCCAGGTAGTAGTCTGTTAGGGAAAAAAAACCCAAACCACCACCAAACACAAACCCCACACCCATGTTGTATGTCACTAACATCTGCACCACCACTGCCAGCAGCGCGGCTGCTGCAATACAGGTACTTTTCCTCAGGTAACAAGTCCTTGTGAGTGGCAAGAAGTTACTCAACGTGACAGATGGCTCAGCCCTCTCGCTGTGGTAACGTACAGCTGCACTTTCCTCACTTTTCTGTAGCCATCAGTGAAGTTTTCTTCTGCCTTTTTTAAACAAACTGCAAATTTAAGTGTTTCAGTATTAGTGCTTTTCCTAAGTAACGGCTTTTCTATACAAGCCCTTTTCACATGGCAAAATAAATCCCTTCTCTAACAAGAACGAGAGCAAAGATTAACTGGGGGAGTGTTTCTCCTTAGCGGGGGCGCGCGGGCTGTGCTGTGCTGTGCGAGGGGGACATTTAGAGGGCTCTACCAGGCGCCTCAGTGGTGCTTAAATTGAAGCTTTTTTGAATTCCACACCTCAGAATGTGTTCTGAGGCAGCACATACATAGCTGAACTTATCAAAACAGCTTTTTCCACAGAGGAGTACTTTTAGTAGAAACAAATACTCCTCTTTCGAGTGCAAGACAGTTGAAGTGCTTCCTTTCAGGTGTAGGTTGGTTGTTTTTTTTTTTTTTTAACCACCACATATTGAAGAATTGAAAACAAAACATCCCAGACTTTTGAATTAAAATACAAGCTTTACAACCACATAGTAAGTGTAAGCTCTTATATTTCAGTTGAAGACTATATAATTATATTTATAGAGTACCAAAATAAGCAAAGGATCAGCACTCCATACAAAGTGTTAGTTCTTGTGAGGAAGATAGAAGGGAGATGGACTTTGATTACACTAAACGTTTTTTGCAAGTCTAAAGAAAACTCCATTTCAGCAAAACAGATTTGGGTTTAGATAACCCGTATCTCTAGTTCATTAAATAGTGTTTCTTCAAAGACAATTTTACATTTTTCTCATTCAAAGTAAAGGGATGATTTAAAGCAATATTAACAAGGAGGTGGTGCTGTTAATGTTTAATGTCAATATGCAATGTCATCTGCTATAAAGGCTAGAAGAGCAACACAACTTTTATCTTTACGTCTGAAGACTACTAGAAATTGACTAACATTTGAGAAAAGTTTCAAGCACGCTACACAGCCTCTAGGCCTAGGCTACTGCTGGTAAGCCTCTGTGCACCGCTAGTCTGTGCGCCGCCAGGAGGAACTCGGCAGGCAAATCCCAACGCCCAGATGCGGGCAGTGACATGTGTTTTCACATGTACAGCACGAGTCCCACTTGAAACGGTTACATCTCTCCCCTGTCCTACGGCATTAAAATGCGAGGAAAGTATTAGCTAACATTGCCACTACAATTTTACAAAAGCATAAATCTGAACAAAATAGCGGCTAAAACAAATTGAAGCGCTCTGTTCAACTCCAGGATTCATTCTCCACGACAACCCTCCTCCTGTCCTACTCCCTGTCCAGTTTCTTCCCCTGCTCCTTCCCTAACGTCTATTTTACAATAAATAGGTTAAGTGGATATACATGATGCAAACTCAAAAGACTTTTGCCCTATACATATAACCATGTTAAAATGTGAGATTATACATGTGATATATCTCTAACAGAGCAACCACCAATTTAGATTTTTAAAGAAACACAAGTATTTCAGCATGTACAGAGTAATGAGTTTAAAACTGTCCAACATTATCGCTTTCATACATTCTCTTCCTCTTTATAGCCTTAAAGGGATTTTAGACCTTGATGGCAACAATCCCAAAACAAGAGTAAAATGAATTTATTTTATTGCAAACAAACGTCTAGAGTTAAATTTCTCCACCCACTTTCTTTAAAGAGAAAAGGAATCAGCAGGCTGAGGAGATACACCCATTTGAGAATTGACATGATTAAAAATTAGATATAAAATGGGTGACTCACAGTTTCATTAGCTTACAAAATGGTGGAGTAACTACTACAAGCACACTAGGTATACAGTATTTTGTGGGGAAAAAGTTATACAGACACACAGCTAACTTCATATAGATCCCATTAGACAACTGGATTTACAACAAGTTTTGTTTAATAAGAAATGGGCAAAGCCAGCTTCTTTTCAGAATCAAAATGCAGAACAAATGGAAAAGAAATTATGGTGTTGTACCTTCACAAGTTTGAGCCTCCACAAATAATGCAACCAAGTTTTACAACTTAAAGAGCTTCTACATACACTCCACCTTCACTATTTAGCCCCAGGTTTCCTCTTTGCCCCCAACATCTCATTGAGTTCCAAATGTTACAAAAAAGTCCTAGTTATTGCCAGAAACTTTCACCTCCCCCTCTTCCCCTCCCCACCCAGAAGCTTCGTAGAGAGGATGGAGTGTAATATGGAGCTTTACATGATCTCATGGTATTCATGAGGGCTACTAAGGAGCCTCCGTACGAATCTGGTTGCTAACATTTCGATCATATTGTGACATGACTCACGACTGTTTCTTAGAAATTGGGGGATGGGGAAAAAGGAGAAAATTCTTTAATAAAAAGACACCAGGTACAAAGCAACGTTTTACTTTTGTTGTGGTAAAAAAAAAGTCACATTTTACAGATAAAATGTAGAACCCTGAAATACTGACACATTCTCTTATCGTGCACAATGCTGAGGTTCTCTTACGAATCACTTTAAAACTGCAATTAAAAATGTACAAAAAAAGAAAAGAAAAAAATCAACCCACAAAGCTTCTAAAAAAGGAACCCGCAGGCACTTCCTCTTGTGGAATGTTTAAAAAGTTAGCCTACTAAAGAAAACAGTCGACTTCTTGTGAAGGTTTTGGAGAAATATGTATCAGTTCATTTATTTGGGTATTCAATAATATCCTTGGTGATAATGCTGACTCCATGGCTTCTGACCCCAGAATTGCTGCAATAAATGGATAAATAGTTAATTTTAACCTGTGATCACACAATGGTTACACTTCTTACAAAAGAGTGCTTTACAAACATCTAGTTCTTGTGGAACTTAAGATTTAACTCCTCTCAAGTAGCAGCAAGTTCCTAAACAACTGAAGACAGTTAAGTTCACGTCACAGTAGCAATGTGAAGCCAAATACTACATGCCATCGAGACCGATAAGCCACAGCTGATATGTGATACAAGACCATCAAAAGCCAGATTAAGTTTTGCACAGAAAACTATTTATAGTGCTATTACCTAGCATTAAGAGATTTTGCTATCCAGTTTTGATTACACATTACGTTATTTCAGACAGCATTTTGAAACATTCAAGTTAACAATCAGTGAAAAGGTAAAGTTATTACTACTTACACCCTGCTGCCACTGGTTGTAGCCCTGAGATTGGTTTTTGTAGCCACGATTATTTCCCCTTCCTCTGAAGTTCTGCAAGAGGACAACAGTTTTTCACTACTTTGTTTATGTGAATTTTTCAGAAGTGTACTAATACCGGTCTTTCCATTACCATGAAAACATCACATACCATACAGAATATTTCAAATACAAGGTATCAGGACTATGTTAAAAACCAAAACAAAAACCCTGGCTGAAATACACTAGAATACCAAAAGCCTCCCTCCTCCAAGCACCTGCTTCTTAAACATGGGGCAAGAACCTCAGAATTAATAAGCCAGCTCAGACTGTTGTTGCCAGTGGTCTGGAAAGCTGGCTAATCCAGTTTTGACTCACCCTACTTCCAGCTGCTAAACTGCACCAGGACAACTAAAAATATAAGAGCTTGCCTATTTTTAGTTAGGAAAGGCTGTAGTTGCTGCAAGGATGCGTTATCTGATCAGACAAAAGGATATGGGTCATACAACTGAAAATAGAAGAGCTACTCTACAAAACTTCAAATAAAAGTTTTGGTACAAAAAAAAGAGATATTGATACTATTTGATAAAATACTGCATTTCCCCTCTTCGTCAGTATTAGACAAACCTAAGCTATGTTTACTAGCTTGGGCTCCATCTGCTGGCTCTTCAGTAATCCAAATTATGTTTTCAAATACTTCTACTGATATTCCATCAGTTAAGACCTAGGCTAGCATGTCTTTACTAGTTGTGTTTGATACCAGACACCAAAACGAAGGCTCTCCCCAGAGCTATTTCCAGCAAGTTCCCTAAATGCTTGATAAAGATACACCTTAACCCTAAGGCCAAACAACCCTTACTACTATTTGGAGAAAAAAAAAAAAAAAAAAAAAAAAAAAAAAAAATTTCAAACAAAAAGGAAAAAAAAAAACAAACACAAGTCTTCACACGCATGCCCTCAAAACCTTCATCTTTCATAGAACAGAGGTACAGTCTCAGCATGGCACCCCCACATCAGCATCAGAACTTTTCATGCAACATTCAGAGCCCTGGGCACATACACTAAGCTAGAAAGCTAAGCCTTTTAGTGTGGGAGTAGTGTAGTACCACAATCAAGTCTGTGCCTATTACCGAGAGCCACCCAACCTTTCAATCATCATCCAAAGTACTGTTGTTCAACTAATAAATCTCCCCAAAAGCATCACCTGGTTGTAGTTTCCCCTGTTGGGCATTCCACCTCTGTTATAGTTTCCTCTGTTTGAGTAGCCACCTCTGCTTGGAAAGACAGGGCCGCGAGGATATGGGTAGCCAATTGCACCGCTGCTGCCACCACCACCTCCGCCACCTCCACCACCTCGCTGAGGCATGTTGCCTCCTCTCCTGTTGTATCCACCACGATTGCCAGGGACTGCAGGGAGAGAATTATGTCATCAAGTAATTGTTCAGTTTAAAGTTTTTCTTACTTGAAGATTATTGCTCAAAATAATGATGGTACGGAAATAAGATTTCCAAATTCAGTGCAAAGATTAAGTCATCTGGTCATAGTCAAAAATGGTAATACAGTCCCTCAATGCAGTCAGGTACACAAACCTAACGTAAGAACCTCAAGGTTGTGCCTCAAACCACATGAGGAGTATAGTCCAGGATTTTGGCAATCTTCACTTTTAAAGTTGGACAATTAACTTTGCACTAGTACATTAAACTTGCACAAGATGAAATCAAGATTCCCACTACAAAGTAACTGCAATGCAAGTATACAAAGCCTGCCCCCCCAGCAGCAACCTCCAAAATTTACAAGCTAACTTCTAGGCTCACCTCCTCCTCTGAAATTGCCCCGCATGTTGAATCCTCCACGACCTCTCTGACCCCTATTAAATTGATTTTTATTGCTCTTCTTGTTCTTCTTTGAGCCAGTGTTCTGCTTCTTTTCCGGTGGAAGAGATTTCTTACTTTCTTCTTTATATTGTTCCAAAAGCTTCTGAGCTTCTTCTTTTTGCAACTCTACATAGATTATTTCATCAAAACATTCTGCTACCTCTGGCAGTGTGAAGTTCCCTATAATTGCAAAAACACTGAGTATTCAGCATCTACATTCAGCTACAATCAAAGCCGTAATTTAACCACCTTTCTCCCATTCTTCCTCCCACCCCCTGCATTCCCTCAGCATAGGGACAAAATTACATAATTTGAGCATTTAAGAGATATAACAGTGACAAAGGAAATAAATAGGTCTTCATGGAGTTGCCAGTACTGTTTGAAACCTTGAAAACATTCTGCCTAAATCTTTTTTTCTTTTATAAGCCTCCACTCAGAATACCAGTTTCTGCCAAATACGTCACTTATATAGGGCACTTTATGCCAAGACAGCTTTGTGCATCTGCATGAAGCATATCAGCATAACTGAGTAGTGTTAAGGACTGCAGCAGAGGGAACACAATATAGTGTTGTCCTATAAGTTACAATAGTCTTCCAGTTTTGTTTAAGTACAACTGTTTAAGATAAAGTGATTTTTAGACTTCACGTTTACTTAATCCTTTAAACAGATACTCAGCATCCTAAAACACAGTATAGGATTATGTTCCATGCCTTTCATTTTGAGAACTGCATGCTCTGGAAGATCTTTTCCCTCCACCTCTGCCTTCTTTTGTGTTCTTTGCTTGTAGTCTTCATCTTTTGGGCAAACAACAACTGCTTTGCGCTGGAAGCCTGCAAACAGGCACATTTTTCTCCTCTGCGCAGCTGCAGACACATTTGTCTGAAAAAAATGCAGTAACTTACTACACGTAGCTGTCATTGTAAGAGTTAAGGAAGTCAACTTATGGTGTATAGACTTCACCTCTACAAGAGCTTGCAATGAAGTTTACATATAACTGGACATAAAGATGCTGCATAATGCAAAGTTACGAGCTCATATCCACGTGATAAAACACTACTCCTCCCACATCCCATAAAATCAGAGAAGTTCAGACAAGCATTTGTAGCAATATCTCAACTTTGTGTCCCCTGAATGAGTAGTAAGCCAGTAAGTGAAAACAACTGCTATTACAATGTAACTTTAATCCCATTTAATTACTGCACTACAGCCTACAACAAATTTCCTTAATGATTTTTCACTGAAACTTCTACCTGATCCAAAATGAAATTCCGCTTCTTACGAGCTGCAATCTCAATGAACTTTCCAAGACACTGTGGAGCTCTCTGCAACAGTGTGTTAAGTTTTCCAGTGTCCGCCATCTGCCGCTTAAAACCTGCAACCTATGGAGAGATTTCCCAGAGTTAAAGTAGCCCTGACACATGTGGGTGACATTTTTCTTTGCTAAATACTTTTCATCTCGCTTCAACGATTGTTTAATTCAAGGCCACAGCTACAAACTCATAACCAACATTCCCAAAGCCTCCCTAAGAGAGAGAGCTTTATAAAGAAAGAATCTAGGTGAATCAATACAGCTGAATCTAAGGTATACTCATCACATTACTAATTCAAAACTAAATGTTCTATTCTGAGGACAGTGACATAAATAGAAATAATTAAATAGTCAACTGTTGTTGACTATTTCATATACCACAGGAAGCTTCAGAATCCTGCTGTGCCATGTTCAAGTAGCAACTCAGCAAGATAAAAGTCTGTAACGGTCACTAACCAACCAGGAGTTGGTTTCTGAGATTTCTTTGATACAAAAGAACCCATGGCAGGCAAAGACCTTGGATCTACAGCAAGTCATTAACATATCAGCAAATAATATGCAATATTATCACTTACCATCATTTTGTCCATAATAGTATTTGTCCCAAGAATGTTGTATTTCCCAGGATTTGCTGCTGCATGTTTGGTAACCCATGTAGTCTTGCCAGCTCCAGGCAAGCCAATCATCATCACCACCTAAGACAACAGGTTCTATACTTGAGATACTAGTTCAAAGATTTTCTTTAACATGCAACTTAGACCAGCAAGCCTAATGGAAACTCAGTGGGGGGCATGGGGATGTGAGGGGGGTTAACAGTCACAGGATACCAAGTATTAAAGCTCCTGAACAAAACCATCAGAGTTGTGTAACAGTCTGCTTAAACTCCACCACATCTGTTCATCTAAACAACTTTGATATTATCAGCAAGAAACTTACCTCACAATCTTTCTTTTGCTCAGGTCCCTTTGGTCCTCGGACTCTATCCTCCAGAGGGACCTTCTGGATGAAGGTATACTCTTCAGGTACAGGAAAGTAAGGTTCCTCCTTCTGACCAAAGTTGAACTCAACCGCACAGTTATGGCAGAGAACATGTGGGAAGAGTGGCCGCCCATCAAGAACTTCCTTACTTATTTTGAATGCAACACCAAGCTCTTGTCCATTCTTTGAGTATGAGAGTTCCACTTCTTCACCATCAAAATTCTGTTTTTCAAACAAAGCATTAGTTTGGATAAAATTACTCACCTCGTTTTATTAGGTTGCATTAGTCATTTCACTATATTGACTACATTCACTTAACTTCTGTAATGTTGTTATGTTCCATCATAAAGGAACCACTTAAAAGTTTTCCCTTAAAATAAGTTACTTGCAATGATCATCTTGTTTAAGATCTGAGTATTTTTTTAAAAGGCCTTAAGAACATTTATCTGTGAATATGAAATCTTAACATCTTGACAGCAGTCACTGTTGGTAATACCCACTATTTCTACCTCCTCCCCGTGTTAAACAACCTGCCTTGCTCCAAGCTTTTCAGTGTTTGGTTTACTACTTCTCCCGTCAAAGCAGTCTAAAAACTCAAGGATGTTTTTCCTCAAAAGAAAATATATGTGAAAACTTACAGCAAAACATCCAATCACATCATTTTCATCAAACTTCTCACCAAAGTCTTCAGTCTCACAATTGCATGTCTTTATTCCTTTTAGAGAATACCCATAAGAAAATTCTTCTTCACCTGAAGAAATAATTTAATCTTATTAAAAGCAGGCATTTTCATCAAACCTTTTAGAAATACAATCGCTTTACAGGTACTTAAGTAAGCTGCTGTTCAGAATGTTTTTATTAATGCCAAAACAAGCTATGACCCCCAAATAGCTAGTGTATTCTTTTATTCAAGAATACTCTCACTTGAGATGGAACAGCAGTGCTTCCTCTATCCCAGTTTTAAAAGCCTTATGCTGCTGGTTCCAGATTCACGTTGACATAAAGATGAACTGCCAGATAAAGTATTTTTAAACTCTGAAGACACGATTATGCACCAGTATACCTGTAACATAGTTATTCAGAAAGGCTTTCTGAATTTAGTCTCCAGTAGCACTTACCCCTCTCCCCATTTTAAAGGGAGTTTAGCAGACATTCAGCCTATGCGACAGCTGAGGATGAAGCTGCAAGAACAAACTAACGGGAAGCGTTGAACACAAGGACTCAGGTGCAACTTAACTAGAAAGCTGCTGATGATGTCAGAACATATCAATTCATATACATTTCCCACAAAGACTGTCTCAGCAGCAGGTATTAGTTACATGGGAACTGATCATAATGGTATTTATATCTCATGAAGTTGGACTTCTTTCTTCCTAGCTACTTTGAAAAATGAGGATTTCCCACCCAAAGCCAAAGGAAAAAAAAATAAAAATATGTAGTTATCCGGGATTTTTTCTTCCCTGGTTAAATGTTATACCATGCCCCACCCTTAAAAAAAAAGGGGGGGAGAAACCCTCTTCCCATTTATGACACTACATGAAAAGGAGAAATCTTTATTCTCATCAGGCCTTCAAGAATGTTCTCCACAACGCATGCCTGACCACTGAAAGAATTAACTCTCAAATCATGTAATCCTTACAGACCTGAATACTTAACAACTTTATTTGGTCCAGTAATAAACTTTCTCACACCATGCCCAGTATCCAATTTAAGTTAGGACCACTTTTCAGAACACATGGACTCCAATCAGTAAGCTTTTCCCATCTGCTTAAGAAAAAATGACTTAAAACTTCAACCATGTACACAATAAATACAAAGGTAATCAAATGATTAAGTCTTACCAAGCAACATTCCACTTGTGTTCAGTGACCAGCCAACTCGCACTTCATGTATGTCAATGTCTTTTGTATACAGGTGTTTAACAGGAATCTTTTCTGTAACCTATTTTTAAATTATTCATTAAAAGGTATGTAGTATTTATTAGAATCCAACAAGATGGAAACACAGAGGTAACACATTTACTAAGTCTGATTAATCACCTTCTGCAAAAGTAAAACATGCTTAAGTATGCGAAATCACAAGCCAATCACTAAATAGTTACATCTCCCGACTGAGCAATGAAGATGCAAGATACCATATACCTTCAAAGCACTTAGTCATAGCAGTCTCTCTCAGCGGCCAAAAAGCCTTAATCCTTTTGATACTGTATTAGAATCACAAACAAGCTGTATTTTTAAGAAAAATAATCACCTTAAAGTTGCGATTAACAGGAAAATACTTTCCCAATAAAATGTGGTAATGGATAAAAATGGCTTTACATAGACTGGACAAAATATTACACTCATTTCTTTCCACAGTAAGCAGACTTCCTCGGCAAGTTGCCAGCTTCCAAACAACATAACCAGATCCAAAAAAACCCACCTAAATGCACTGAGATTTGTAGGCAACCAGCTATTTTCTAACTGCCTTTACCAACTTCACCAAACTGAAGCGAAAAACTGATCAGTATCCTACCAGTTTCCACAATTATTCGAGTCAGGTGACCGAGGTGAAACTGATTTGAAAGTGAACAAGGCAATAAATACTGACATCAATTTCACTCCATTGGCCTTCCAAAGTTATAGGTACCAACAGAAATCACTCAATGCAAGAGCATGGAGAATGGGATCACTACCCACTCCTCATGGTAGTGGTTAGATTTGAAAGTACTAGAGGAAGAGAACAGAGTAAGCATTTATACACACAGGCACATCGTATGCAAAGAAGCCTTTAAGATCATAAAGTCAAAAAAAAAAAAAAAAAATAAAAAATCAAGCTTTGTGCCTCCTCTTATTCTTTCGCTAACAAGTTTGAAAAATCTACTTATTACAAGCCTGATTGCTCTTTGCCATTCTTACCTTTTAGGAGAACTCTTGCTCTCAAAATTCAAGTACCTGCTAAATACATCACTGCATACGCAAGTCAGAATTATTCAGGTTGGAAGGGACCTCTGGAGGTCATCTAGCCCAAATCCCTGCTTACAGCAGGTCAGACTCAAAGACTAAGTAGGAACAGAAAAAAGGGCTGCTGGGATAATTTATACCCTTTCTTAAAAAAAAAAAGCGCCAAGCTTTCTGTAATCTTCAGAAAGTACAAGCAAACTTCAGACTAGTGAGTATCAAGATTTGTCCAGTGTTGATGCACGAGATGCCAAATAAAACTCTTGGTTCAAAACTGAGACCAGAAGTTAAATATTCTGGATAAACACAAGCTGCCTTTTTGTTGTTGTTGTTAAATGGCAGTTCTTATAAAAGAGGAAGCAGTTTTGCAAATTGAGTCATCTTTTATCAAAAATCATTTCACAGGCTCTTAAGAGAAAGCCTTCTGAAAGCTCTCCTCACCTGAATTAGTTTCAACTAAGTACAAAAAAACCCTTGCAAGTATCAACAATAACATATTTAAGCATGCAAAACAGTCTCCCACAAAACATCAGTTTAACTCACCTTCATCTCAAAGCAGACTTTGCCTTTAGAAACACCATAGGAGGCTCTCCCTCCAGCCCAGAGGAAAGCAAAGCTTTCCATGGTCAGAGAGGAAGCGCTAAACCGGTCTCTTGAGATTTTAAAATGCAGGTCACAGTTATCTGTTAACATAAAAATCATTCTGTTTACTCTTATCACAAAATAAAGCACAGCTGTCCAATTTTATGCATTAAAAGCGATTTCAGCCTTCCAAGGTGATTTTTAAGACCAACTGCCAGCAACTGCTCAGCATCTTTCAGGAAAGCAAGTGAACACATGCATAGATAGAGCTGCAGGCTGAAGCTCAGCCAAAAGTCTTAGGAAAAGCTAGCTAACAAGAATAATTTTCAAGGTGCCATCTTCACTTCTGTCACCAAATTCCCTCCATTTTTTCCATCTGCTTAAAAACCTGAATTTAATCTCATCTATTTGAACCTTTTTTGTTGGTTACCCAAGATATTTCCATTAATATAGAGCAAAGGAATTTGCATCATGTTATTTGCTATACCTTTTTTTTTTTTTGAAGTCTTCTTACCCGCCATGCCCAAACCTAAAGGCAGCTGAGAAGTAAGAAGTAACACAAGTATTTTTAAGTACTGAAAAGTACTACTGTCTTTGGTTTAGCCAGTCCAATTAGATTAAGCCAATTAAAATAAAGTCAGTTAAGTCAAATACAGATAGGTTAAGCATGCAGGAATACGGTGAGAGCGTACTTCACCCAAGAAACATGATCTCCATTACGAATTCACCTATCACTCTAGGAACTTAAGTGGAACCTTTGTTTTACAGACATCTTCAGAGCAGCAGCACCATGAAGTTTCAAATTAATTTTCTAGTAAGTTTCAAAAAGACAATGCAAAATGGTAACAATAAAGCACAGGATATAGCACTTGAACTCCCCAGAGCAAGGAATCCACAGAAGAAACTCCAAACCTCCTTGACAGTTACAAGAAGGGAGCAAAGTGAGCAAGCAGTGAGTTCTTCTGCACTGGTGTAAAATCTACATGCTCCCAAGTACACTAAAATGTAGTCTTCCCTGTATTACTAGTAACTCTCATGCATGAGATCTTGTTTTGTTTGCATAAAGCCATCCCTGGTTTCAATTACAATATCTGCAATCCAAGTGTTTTCTCATTAGTACTTCTAAGTTTTATTTGTTGTATGAAAACCAGACAAAACCATATAGAAGAAACCCACCTGTGCAGGTTACTTTTAGATCAACAAATGAGAACAGAATTTGAAGTTACAGCTTCCTTGTAAGACGACACAGGTAATAAAAAGCACTTAAGAGTGCTAAACCTCTTACATGTCTGGATCATTAAGGTCCAGAAAAGAGAGTGCCAAGTTGTTACACAATTCAGTCCGAAAGCTGTTTCATTCTGATCTCCAAGCAGTCTGCCAACACTTTAAATCACAAAGTTTGTCAAGTAACACAACTTTCTACTGGAAATAATAGCTCCTGCTCAGTTATTGGGAAAATCAGAAGCTCCCACAAAGGTGGCTGCTCACCAGGTAGCAGATAGAAACTTGAGATTTAATTACCAAAATGTTAAGGACAGCATATCCAGCAATTTATGTGGCTGTAAACTAATACCTCCTTCAATTTCAAAACATTTATTGGGGGAAAAAAAAACACCTGGAACTACCAGCATATATGCCAGATAATGCCAAAATTTAAGCTTTCCTTCCACAGCACTTTAAGAATCCAACAAGTTCAAGCATCATTTAAGTTTTTTTAATACTGCACTAAGTCCTTATACTTACCCTCAAGAATACAAAAGTTTGCCCCGGTCACAGTACATCACAGTAACAGTAATGTTTATAGTGTGCCTCAAGTAAACCCACTGTTTGCAAGTACATGTCAATTTCTATGCCCTTTCAACCAATTCTCTCTGCCATCCCATTTGCACAAATCACCCCCCCACCCCACAAACTCCCAGGCTGTATGCATGGGTCATTTTTCAGGAGGCCTTACCCTATTTTTTTTGTTAAATTTATCACAAAACATGAAGAAATATTCCACTGGTTGGTATATAAAATAGGGCCTCAGCACGTTATGCAGGAAGTTCACTTAAACTGTACTACTGTAACCCCCCCCACTATTGACTCTCAGAACTTTCTGAAGTGCAAGGCTCATGCGCTGCATAATCAGTTCCTCAAGCTGTTTGTAGAGTGTTCTATGCTCACTCTACACTTGGCCAGCTTAGTTTCCACACTACATTAGTGTTTTGGTTAAGATTTCTTCAGAAAACTGCACAATATCACTGACTTCATGGGAAAACCAAGCTTATTCTTGCTAATATAAATACCTATGTATCCCTCTGTTCTTTTGTATACAGAAAATGGGTGGAAACATCTCTTTTTTTTTTTTTTTTTTTAAGTTACTTTGTAATAAAAGTCAACAAATGCATTCACTTCACATTTCAGGAAGTGTGGTTTTAAGATTAAAAGCATAACACCACATCTTTCCAGAGTAAAGGAAAGCATGTTTACTCACAAGTATCAAGACAAACCACTGTGTCATCAAAATGTTCGTCTTCTTCTTCAACAGGTGGTTGAGGGGACTTGGCCCTGAACAAAAGAAAACCAAATGATAATAAAGCTACATGTATTTTCACACTGTTAAAATTAGCGTTTCTTTACTTTACTTCTCATTCATAAAATGCTGCCCAGCATTTAGTTTATTTACCTGCTGTACTTATTTTCCTCAATGTACTCAAAATATCCACGGCCATGGTCTTCACGTTGTCTCTTCACTCCCCTCTTTTTCTCACCAGGTTTTTGTTCCGTTTTAGCATCTCCTGTAGCAGAATTAAGGATTTATTTTAATTACACAAAGTAACTCTTTAATCGGGACTAAACTCCTATACGATGGTTCCAACCTTGGAAACTTTAAGAACCAACAACACGAGAAAAGCAATAGTACCCCGAAGAACTTTGCTTTGTACTAAGATAAAAACCCTCTATCTAGAATTTTCTCAGCACAGTCAAAACTTGTCTGCTAAATCATCCCCGATCTGCGACAGAAGCAGTCAGCACACCACGCAGCAGCTGGTACGCTCCTCGATGTTCCAATTCCCCACAGAAGAGCCAGCCAGTGGGGGGAAAAAAAAAAAAAAAATCGGACAAAAAACCCCTCCCGTCACGCCAGACCTGCACCCTCCCCCCGCGCAAGCAGGACATTCCCGGCCGTTCGCAAGGACACCGTGCGATCCGCACGACTGCGCCTCCTCTCGGCAGGCCGAGGGCGGCGGCCCGAGCAGCAGCCCCGCGCGGGGCCGCCCGGCTGCCTGCAGGGAAGGGATTCCGCCTCCTCCCGCCTCCATTCTACCAGGCCTTCCCCACGCCATCC